AATAAACTGCCTATTCTCTAACATAGTCAGGAAAAATGTCATCAGTATTGCTGTTGAGAAAGAGGCCCGACGTCAGTGCTTCTCTGTATTTAGTGTAATAAAGACATAAATATGAGCAGACTGAAATGATGCACAAAAGTACAGGATTTATGGCAAATTGAATCAGTCAAGAGAAAATAGAGAGCACACAAAGTATTAGGCCTTTTACAAGAAAGAACAGAGTTATGTGCACCTGCCCATTAAAACACAGAAGCAGAAAACTATCACAACAGTCTGCAGCCATTAGGGCACATAACAGCATGTGCTGCATTAGCACTTCTTCTCCACACTTATACACATAAAATTATGAATGTCTTTGGATATGAATCTGCATGGATTTACAGACCTCCATGCAACCACAGAAGTGTGGTGTACCCACAGTATCTTGTTCACATTTAAATTTGCAGGTGAAGCACTTTGTGATTTTGTCTAAGAAAACTGCTTAATAAATACATTTGCAAGGATGAGTCTACTTTATGTGATTGTATTTGTCTATATCTAAGTCCAAATAAGTTTCAGTTGCTATTATCATTATATTTTTGCAAAGACTACATTCAGTTTTGACATCTTCTTTTAATAAATTGTAGGAGTGGGATGAGAAACAAGACACAACATTGTTTTCATAAGAACAAGCCAAAATGAGATTCTGACACTATATGATTAATATAGTACATCAAATGAACGACATTTTTGGCACACAATTTTTCAATATATTTTATTGTCATTGCCCTTTTTTGTCCAAGGCAAATGTAAACATGCAATCTTGATTGTGCATAATCTTGATTTTATCTTGTAAAAAATATGTATCAGAAAGTGCTATATCATTTGTTTTAGTTTATCAGATAAAGTTGGAGTCCTAGAAAATAAGCAATTATTATTGGTGTGTTTTGCATACAACATGTGCATATTAAAAAGCATACTGTGATGTCTTGCAGTAAACATTACATTTTTACAGCATTTACCAATATAAGCATTTTATTAGTAAATTAAACTAGTTAGTAAAGTATTAACAAGTTGTTAGTATATAAAAATAGTACATTTTATGTGGCTGTTTACATTTTCTTTGTAACAGACAAATATTAGGTAATATTAGGTAAAGAGCACATGTTCTGATGTGGTTTCAGATTAACAAAAGACAAATCCCAAGTGTCAAGTAAAACCATGTGTCTTCCTTTGCCCCTCCCTCCCTCATCCTCTATCTCTCTCTTCCTCTCTGCAGTGGGACGCAAACAGGAGCAATTTCTCTCCTCATTAACTTCCTGATTGGTTTCGGACTCCAATTTTTCTACGTCTGCAGTTTGTCACCACTTCTGAAATGCCGGTCCAATCGTTAATACTGTTTGTGTAGCTAAGTGCAGCCGGCTGTTTTTAAGCCTGTGGTCTTCACACAGCAATAACAGCGAGAGTGTGGGAGCATGAACAGCTTCACTATTCTTCTCTTCATCAGTAGCAGATCTATGAGCTCATTAAATGAGAGGTTAAATCATGACACAATGTAGAACATTAGGATCAAGCCAGGGCGCATTTATCAATTAAAGCTAATTAGCTCCAATAGGATTACATCACATCTTAATGTTTTTAATATTAGCTAAAGCAAAAGAGTATGAGTGAATTTAGTTTTTTTTTTTTCATTTACTGAACATCAAGGACTTTTTAAGGGCAAGAAAAATGTAGGGGACTACTCACAAAGGTGACCAATTTCATTTAACCTACAAACCACACATAGTGTGTAGATTAGCATTAAACTCTAGATACACTTCTGTCAGCACACATTAGATTATTTTGATGAAGTTAAAAATCCTTCTAGTCACCTGAAACTCAGCATAAACTCTTGTTTCAGGTTCATGATTATTACAACACCTCTTCTGTGTTGTATATAAAGATCATGTTACACATATTTACACATTCAAACCAAAATAAGGCTAATTTTCTCAATGAACTTTTGCCCCTAGTCTCTCTGAACTCCAAAGAAAATTTTCAAACTGAGGTATCCTTTGTGTGGAGTAACAAAAGGAATGGTCTGAACCTCCCTCTGGTTGTGTGAGAGCTGGAGGGAGTGGATGAAGCTGCCATCATTTCTGCTGCTGCCAAGGAGGCACAAAGCCCCAGATGTGAGAGGACACGCTCTCTTCTGATGCACTGGAGATAAGCCTGAATGTCTGTGTCAGCGGGCAAGTCTTTGAGAGTCTATGGAATCTGTTGTGCTTGTAATATGTTGTACAATTATTATATGATGCAATTATTGTTTTTTTAACCAAGGACCACATTTATTATGTTTTCTTAATACATAGTTTACCATAATACCTAAGGCTAATCATATTTGTTTCCTACAGGTTTCAAATACAGCAAAAAGTTGCTGTACTCTGTCAGTGTTTTTGAAAGTTCCCTGTGATTGAAGCACTTACAGGCGGCCATTTTCAAATCTAATCTTAAACGTGAAGAGTGGCCTGTCACATGACAAGGTTGTCCCTCCATTAAAAGGATAGGAACAGTGTCTCTCAGGGCAGCTCTGTCCTAAGTGAGGAGTGTGTCCGGCAGAGGACAGCTTGTGTGGATACGGACGTGGGACAATAGAGGAGGCTGCTCCTCATCACAGGGTGAGTATGGGACTTAATGGTCCAGAAAACTGAGTCAAAGAGCAGACAAGCTTTAAGCAGCGGGCAGCCAAGAGTGCAGCCTGTGGGCTCTTAACTTATGTTTACACTACAGACCTTCACCTGCACTTTACAATCACCGCTCACATTCTTTATGTGCAATGCCTTTGTTACTCATTTGTACATAATGATACAGATGTAGTCAATAATCTAAAAGACATTTTTCAGTCTGATATACGTCACAGTGTATACTCCACACCTTAATACTGTTAACAGTTGTGTTCACATTTGGAGTCATTACTGCAAAGAGGCTGAGGCAGTGCAAAGCGATCTGGCACAAGGCGGTGAAGAGGTCAAAGGCTAATTAAGCAAAGATGACCCTTTGGCCCTGCTTTGTTAACCAATCTGTGCTGCTGAGGAGGTGTGCCTGATCTCTATGCTAAATCACCACTTCAGTTACTGTGCCTCATCAACTCATAAAATGGCCTGTCACTCCATCAATGGCATTTTGACATGATCTGTTATAGATATGCAATAATGGGCTCAGGCAGTCAATCAATACTAGACTTTCCACAGTCACACTAAATATTCATTGCCGAAGGACAGAGTAAGAATAATGCCATAGTACGAGATACAAGAAAGGACCGTGAAAGTGTAAAAGGCAAGAGGCTTATAATACAGTGTTAACTGGTGCTCAAATTGCAACATGTCTGATTGAGATGTAATAATCGTAATTAAAGAAACATATATTGTGCTTTTACTTATTACAAAACAAATGTTTGCAACGGTGTGGTCTCTTAACTTAACCCTATGTTTGACATATCATGTGAGGGGCTGCTGCGTAACAGCAGAGTTCAGCTTTTTGGCTACACTTTGAGCACAGACAGACAGAGGTGTGTGTGTGTGTGTGTGTGGTGAGTGTGAAGGAGAGAAATGGAGAGTGAGGAGAAGAGGACATAAACTACAGCCCTGGCCATTTAATGCCTCCACAGCCCCAGGCCTGTGTTAATGGTGCTGTTGTACAACACATTACAAGAGCATTGTGCCATAAGCACACAATTACACTGGTATTTAGGCGTCCATCGCCGCAGGCTCACCCACTTAGCAGCACAGCAGGCACATGCTGTGACACTGATGAGCCCCACAGGAGCCTTCACTAAGGGTCTGCAGGCCAAAGACATGTCTCACATCTTACTTACACTTAAAGAACGCAATAGAAACGGCAGCAGCACAAACACAGGGCCACAACAAGTAAACAGAGGGTTAAAGAATGTGAAGCACACTTGACTTATGGTGTCTTGTGCATGGGGTAATAAACTACAGCAGCAGTTGCCAGTATATTTTAACAGAAGATAAAGAAATGTCCTGACAATTGCAGCAGTCTTTCTGTCATTGTCGTTATTTTTCAGTGTACGCAAAGAAGCTGAAAGGACAGGCTTTATACGCAGTAACTCAAGTTGGTGTACAGTACAGTATAGATCAACGGAGAGGAAATCAATAAAATATCATCTTGAAAGATAGTAATGGATTTCTAACTTAATGGGCTCACACAGGTCTATCGATTAGCAGGATTAACATCTGCAATACCTCAACAATCTGATTTGCATTTAAATGACGGTATGCACTGTGCTGACACCATTATAACAAAACAGGCCGTTGGATTGTCAGCCCAGTCACGTTCGATTTTAAAGTTTGTCTCTAGTATAAATTTTGTTTTCCAAAGAAGTTGTGAGAAAGGAAAGTTTATGCTTGCAAACTTTGAACAGTTCTCCATTTCAAAAGTCTTGACAAGGACAGAAAGAAAGAACATAAACACTGAAGAGTCGTCTTGAAGCTGTCTGCTGAAAGACTGAAACAGCCATAAGTCTTTTGGGGCAGCTCATCTGCGCTGTGAGCCCGCTGTGGACGGGGACAGTGTGAGGGAGATGCAGGGAGGGCACAGAGGTGGGGTGGAGTTTGATGGACTGCACTGTCACCTCCCGCGCTGCGATTTACGGCGCTGAGCTGCTGACGAGCGCAGGGCAGTAAACAGGCGGCTGGGGCGTATTTCACACAGAGCTGCCTTTTATGAAGAACACCAGGACGGCTCTCCCCACAGCTCCGCCCGCCCGCCGTGACGGATGGAGAAAGACGCATGACAAGCTTCATCATTGTTTGTAAATCTTAACTGTTCCCGCTCACTAACTCCAGAAGGCAATTTTGCGGAGACAGCGGCGCAGGCGAAAGGGGAGGGCTGAGGGGAGAAGGCTGAGGAGGAGGAGAGGAGGCAAAGGACAGCGTGGCACTGCTGAAGGTTATGTGGAGCTCTGTGTTTGGCCAACTGATTAGCCCTATCCCCAAGAGAGATAAATCTGACGCCACAGTGGCAGCGCAGAGAAGGGAGGCTGACAGGCTCCTCTGAGAAGCAACCACGGCACTTTCTTTACACAGTTATATTAACTTCTACTCTCAGGATATAACACTAATATGTTTGCAAGCCTGTTTTATTGGGATCATGTAAAACACTTTATTTTTCATGGCAAGATGTCATATGTCTTATTAACGCAACATCAGTCTGAAGTCCTCACACCGTGAGACCTCACACAATGTGTGTTGATATCATGTAATGGAGCGTATCATTTAGTGCACAGGGCTGACGTGGGACCCTCACAGGAAGTGGACAGGTAAAAATCATAAACAAAAATGATCTGTGGGACAAGCAAGACATGTTCACTATAGGATCATTAACTTTACACTTTGGGCTGAAAGAAAAAAGTCTACTTTGAAGAGTATTTTAAATACTTTATACAATGCAATGCAATATACACAGCAGGCTGTATGTTTTTTGGCAAAATAAGACTAGTCATTTCAGTTCTTTCTATACTCATACTCTAGTGCTCATGTTTGTGTGTCACTCACAGGTTGTCATGCTCTCAGCACAGCTGCTGCCATTGGTGCTGTTGTGGTCCTCCACAGTGAAAATGGAGGGCACACAGCTTGAGGATCCCAGGCCCTGGGTCAGGTGAGTGGCTGCTGGGTAATATGAGTGCATTCGATACTGAGAAGACATGTTGTGACTGGAGACACGTCCATCACCATGAGGCATCTGCTTTACAAACACAAAACAAGAGCCACTACATTAGGCGGACAGGAACAAATTCATAAGGGTAAAAATATCACCTCCAATAACATAATGGCACTTACAACTGAAAAGTCAACAGCAGCTAAATCCCTCTTTGTTTGCAAGCTCTGCTGGTTTACTGCTACATTTTATGAGAACTAAAATACATGTTATCTTTTTGTGAAGATGACATCAAATGTTGTATGGCCTTGATGTTTTTTTTCTAAATTCTGTTGTAATTTAGGGTGCATTCTTCAGCAGAACTGAAATGACTTTTAGAAAAATGCCTCAATTATACAACTAAAAGCTACACTTTACCCATAGTAAAGCTGCTATTATCCTTTTTTGCACTGATGTAATTCTACTTTTAAACAGTCAGGAGGGGAAATAAAACAGTGTGATTTAAAAGAATCTGCAACATGCTATGCAGCGTTCAGCTGCCTCTGAAAAGTTTAAAATGAGCTGTCTACTCAGCAGCAAGGCCGTCGCACACAGGGTTTTCAATTTCACTTTTATGGAATTTGATTTCTGTCAGCCTGTAATATGTCACCCGTATTGTCCACACCATCAATTCTTTGGCAGCTTTATAAACTGTTATTTAAGCTACACTCAGCCCCTGTATTGGCTGTGAAAAATACAGGAGAAATTGGATGTGATCCGTGTGCTCTTCTTGGATTACTTTTTACAAGAAACATGCAGAAAAAACACATTTTTCCTCTTGGTTTTGAGATGATTTTAATTGTTGTGTTCATATTTTTAAGCCACCCATCAACAGTCTGCTCTCATAACATAAAATTGTTTAATTCCTCTATGGAGATTAGAGTTAAATTTCTCTTACATTCCAGAGAACAGCAGCTTATCTGGCAATATCTCTTTTCTACCAGCATTACAGCGCCCTTATCCTGTAGTGTGAAATCATGATGCATCCGCCTGATAGCCACGCACCAGGGAGCGCACTGGGAGAGAAGTGGATGAACCAGATAAACCACGGATATGGACCACACTGATTTATTATTGTTGTACTATCACTTTTCTGTCTAAAACAATACATAAGAAAACACTTTTTACACTATAAACCCAGAACATGATCTTTACAGAAACACTGAAAAATGAACTGGATTCATCGATGAGCATAAGTAAACCACAGAATGATGTTCTTTTTGTTTTATTCTTAGGTTTCTTATGTTAATTTTTGCTATTACATTGTCAGTGTTATATCTTAATGACTTACTGGCAAGGTCTCTCAATTTTATGACTAATACAAATAAAACATAGACCCGTCTCTGATGTAATTTCAAAAAATGCAATATGCATTTTAGAAGTGCTATGAATTAAAATATGTTTTTTTGCTGTTTTGAATAAATATATACAAATGCAAACATTTTGAGAACTAATTATTTGATTGAACTTTATCTAAATGGAATGTGAACAAATACTGTGATCAAAAAGTAAGGCTGAAAAACTACAAAAACAAAGACTGACCGCTGCTGTCACACAAATAACAGCCTGAAGGCCACGCGCTTCCACTCAGCACCATAAACATAAACATGTCTATGCCATCCCTGCTGCTACTTCAACTTACCCATCTATTTCACCATGATATGAGCATGCTCCTCTTCCCCTATGTTAAAAAAGTGCTATCTGAATTTAAATAACCGTAGCACGTAGCTCTCTAAGGCTGACAACTTCATTGAAAATACCATAAATCATAAGGGAGGATGGCAAAATTATGCTAAAGACTGCTAACTGATTAGCATTAATGTGCTGACTTTCCCCTTTGAGCAGTGAAGCAGAGCGGTTTGTTCTTCTGCCGACAGACAATACCATTAACCTTTGCAATTCAAGCTCTACTGTTTGCTGCCAGATTAGCAGAGGCAGTGACCCCAAAACTCGATGTTGCTATTGGGGTCTAGGGGAGTGTAGGGTGGACGGACAAATGTGCACTATAAAAAATAAACCGCCTCATCAAAGATCAACCCAATGTTACAGTTCTAATTTATTTCATGCATAAGCTCATCTCATTTGCCACAATAGAGTTACATTTAGAAAATGAATCAGAGGTGCAGATGGCAGGACTATGCGTGTCCCTCTCTCATTAAAACAAAAAGATAGTAATAAAAAATAAGCAATAAGCATTTCAAAAAGAGAACACCTTTAATACAGAATTTGGATATTCAAAATTAGAAAACTATGTTGAGTATTACAAAAATGTTATTATTGCAAAGTTTAATATGTGTGTAATATGTTAAGTTAAAATAATGTAAATGACTTAATTTACTACTCAAACTGTGCCGAAACCTAAAAAGAGACTAAACAAAGATTTTTAAAAATAAAAGAAAAACCCTAACTAAAATCTGACCCTTTTAAATTTTTTGCCCAACTCCAACATAGACTACCAAAAAAATCTGAATTACAGCTTGGCATATAATACTATTTGCTCTTTTTAAAAAAAATCTTTTTCTCTCATTGTGTGTTTCGAAGTGTTTCTTGTAATCACCTGATACTGCTGGTAGTTGTAGAGGTTGCCATAGTAGGAGGAGTAGCGTGATGGCTGGTATAGGTTATAATAGGAGGTCTCCAGCAGAAGGTCAGACGCCCCTTGAGAGTGAGACCTGGGACTGGAAGAGGGACTGGGGGAAGATGACATGGGCCGACTCCCTGGACACAGACAAAAAGGAAAGCAATATGTGTGATTATATAAAATTCTGCAGTAGATTTTATGTTTAACCAAACCCTATATTTGTGTCTATTTCCTACAAGCTAATGTTCTGAAACAAAACTCCAAAGTATTGTACAGTTGTAACTGTAAATTGATTTTTGTATTGACAGTAAAAATGATTTCAGAGAATGTATAGATCCTGCCGCACTTGCAGTGATAGCTAGGGTTAGAAATTTAGAAAAAATAAATAAATCAGCAGTTACAATTTTTCTCACAAGCATTGCCATTAATTTATAGAACATGTTTGTAGAAGTCTAAACTGCAGGATTAGCAGGTCTTCTACACCAGATACTGTCACATAAATGATAATTGCAACTATTACTATTTTGTCTTAGTTTGTGGCTTTTAACTAAAATACTTATTTTCTGCTTTTGCCATTTGTCTGTCTCAACATATTGTCAACAGCACCATCTGTTGGCCACATGCATGCTTTCATGTCCTTCAGCGTTCAACACAATAAGGGCTGGGGAGTTAGCATCTTCATCACACATGCACGCTTTTCTTATCAACAAAGCCACATTCTTTTGGGCAGACCCTGAACTTTTGGCTGGACACAGGGAAGAGACTGTGACTTCTTCCCTCTGAGATAATGGCATTTGTTGCTCCCGTTGAAGTGCTCTCAACAAATTACATTGTGCTTTCCTCCTCCTGAGACCAAGGCCACAAAGTTCACAGACAAGAAAGTTTCCAGCTTTGGGGAGTTGGGGACATGTTGTAATTACAAGCCAGTGTTGTGTTGACAGAAAAAAAAAATCATGTCTTCTTATAGAAAAATCTTGCTGTACCTCTAGTTTCGACTTGAAATTGATGATATTGAATTAATATTTGTTCAGTCTTCTCTCAACCGTTAATGTTCAGAGTTGTTTAGAATGAACAACGTAAACAGAATCCTACTTTTTAAATATATTTTGCAAATCTAATCACAGTTGCAATACTTGTTTTACAGTCAGCCTTGCCTAATTTATTAAAAAGTGATTTGTGAATGGGGAATTTCACCTGTCACAGCCATAGAAGCAGCAGCACTGGTTGTAAGAGTGGAAGAACGTCTTTCCACAGAGAAAAGACAGTCTGCTCCATTTTCATTTTTAACCATCACATCAGGGCCTGGCAAAGACACTGGACTGCAAATCCCCAGCTCCTCTTCTTGTGCCTGCTGTCTCCTCAAAGCAACCTAAAGGTGCAAGAAATCGGATATTACAGCGTTTCCTAGTGGTATATGTAAAGTCTTCAGTTTTAGTGTTAACTTCATAGACTCAGTAATTCGAGATGTGGTCCCATTTTAGACCCAATTTAGCCCTAGTACACTTGGGATTATCCTATTACAGACCTGATTTAGATCTGATCTACACTTACACTTGGAGTAAAATGTATGAAAAACACTTGGCTATTTCAACCAAAAAGGGTGGGCCCTGCTCCCCTCATCTTGTGCTGTACTGTTTTTCTGGTGCGCCTGAGATAATGGCGGTCAATACCTGAAGTTCCTCTTGGGAATCAATAAACTACTATCTATTTGTCTGTCTGTTTATTTTAAATGAGTGGGATAGGTCTATGCGAATAATGGGCCTAAATACATGCTACATGTCAAGTTGTTATAAAGTAATTTATGTTTGAATAAACCTTTCATTTATAAACAGCAGTACAACTGTAATAACAAAATATTTTGTAGCAAATGGGGGTTGTTTAGGTCTAAATGCAAGATTTAAGTAAAACATTGCTTGCAAACAGCTACATTAATCTCACCTACTTGTTAGCTAGCTCTGAACATGTGATTAATAGCTTTTTATTTATTTATTTTAATGGCTCACTGTTGATTGTTGTCATTAATTTTTTTTAGCACGAATCAACTTTAATCTCACAATTTGTCAAATGTTAACGCATGAATAAAAAACAAACAAACTGGTTGCTCGTTTTGTGAGGTTGGCGCTCAAACAGGTGAAAAGAGGGTTTCCCGCGTGTGTGAGTGTGCGTGTTTATTTATGTGTGTGTGTGTGTTACCTGTGCGGCCATGACCCTCTGTCTCTCGGCTATAAGTTTACACTTTGTGCATTGACAGTCCCTCCACCTGCAGAAGCGCTTGTGTCCTTTTAGCGGAGACACGTATCCATGATTTCTGCAGCGGCTGCACTTGGGCATTCTCGCAGGTTTGAGGCCTTCGAATGCCGGGAGATTTCCAGCGCACTCCGGTACGTTTTTGCTCTGTTTGTTTTTACTCATGCCGGCAGCTAATAAAACAATAATATGCTAACTATAAGACCAGCCCAGGAACACTGCAGGATTTGTTACTATGTGTATTTCCAAACCTCGCGTCTTCTGTAAGGGCTGCTACCCGTCTGAAGGCTGTGAGGTCACCCTCCCGTATAAACCCAGCCCTGGTCTGGGAGGGATTATTGTCTCATCATTAGATTTTTACTATATTTTTTTCTTTTTGACTCAGTTAGGCCTTAGCAAATCTGAACACATGTTATCAGTCTATGACAATTAAACCAGGATTTAAAAGCTTAGCAAGTGACTTTTCAAGACAGGGCCTTTAGGCTAATTATTAGGGTAGAATTGTAATCTATATCTAATTCTGTCAATATTATGCGTATATTTTGTTTAGCAGAAAGCCTAGGCTACTACGCGACCTGTTAGCTAATGTACCCTGTCACCTCTACCATGTCTGTAGTCCTCAGTCACCTTAGAACTACTACTTCCGTAATGTTCGTGAAAGCAGCATATCCTAGCAACCACAAGTTTGGTTTGCGACGTCTTGAAACTCTGAGATAAAAGTGAAAGGATGCCCAAAAAAGCGAAGGGAAGTGGTGATAAAGAAGACCAGGACAAGAAGATGACAAAGAGAAACTCGGCTTCTGCACCTAAAGACGTGACTGAAGAAAAAGAGAAGAGCATCTACTTAGCACAAATTCGATTCTTGAATGAAAAGTTGGAAAGGTAGGCCACGCGCTCTATGCATGCGCTTCACAAACATGCTACATTCAGTGTATCTATTATGTAGGCTTATGCAAAAATAAAATAAAATAAAGAAATCTAATAAAAATATAGTTGGCCCAATACCTCTGAAATTACTGTCCCTATTCACATGGAACAAAACTAGTGCAAATCTTATCTGTTAGCACAAAACTTCTGAAACTAATGTTGCCATAATAGCTGTAGAAATGTAGTAGTTGCCAGGTGAGGTATGTAGGCCCCTGCCATTCATCCGGTCTTTATCCGTCTGAAATGACCACATAATCAAATTTAAGTGAAGCGAATTAAGGAAAGGCTTATTAACAAATATTGGGCCTTTATTCACTGTGATTAGGTTACTGGTTGCCATAGAAGGAAGTATAGTGTGATGGCTGAGATTTGATTGTCTAACTGCATAAATTGCCTGTAGGATATAGGCCTACTTAATCAGTATGGCTCTGCTGCCTACTGAAACTTTATGTCACGCCACAACAACTGTAGTCCGTGTGGGAATGAACAAAGACAAGATTTGATTTCAGGCATAAGGAGAAGTTCCTTATCATAAGTAGATGAATGATCAAGGTCTTTATACTCCCTGTTCCCAACTCAAGTCTGTGTTTTTCACATAAAAGTCATGGTCTGTTGTGGGGCAAAGAGATTGACATAATTACTTACTTTGGTACTATTTCTAGATAATACAGGCCTGGATGCCCACTAAAGTAGCACTCAGGGATCCATCTCAGATCTTGAGCTAGGCTTGGTTAAGACTTTAAAAAATAACAAACAAAAAAAAACAGATAACTAACTAGAATAATCAGATAACCCAATCATTAGATCTGATTTTTGGAGTGTGCTATGCTCAAGAGAAATCTTACAAACACCTGAACACCTTAATTAGTCAACACATGATGTAGGACTGGGGAATGACAAAAAATGCATTTTTAAATAAATTATTTATTTAGTTTTATTTATTCTTGGTAAAACAACTTTTTCAGTAATGTAATACTTTCATAGTTTGCCATTTGTTGTGCATCATTTTCCTCACCAACACCTGTGTGAACAACCAGAAAGAAATCCCATCAGATGTTTTGTTTACATGACATTTCAGATTTTTGGTGTGCATGTAAACAGAGCCACTGCAAGAGTTATACGGAACGAAACAACCAGTCTAGGAATATACTCACTTTTTATGCTATAGGCAGTTTTAATGTTCTGCTGTTTCTTTATATACTTTGTTATGTATACTAGTTACCAAGTACATTTTGCCCTCCAGATATGAGCAGAAATGCAATGACCTGGAGGCACAGAAGAAGGACTTAAACCTTAAACACAGCGCCTTGGAGAAGGAAAAGACTGATATCATGGATTTTCTGAGACGCTCTTTACTGGACAAAGAGGAAGAAGTGGAGAGACTGAGTGAGCGGCTGGAGACTGTTCTGGAAGAAGTTCAGAAAGAACAGGAGGAGATGCAAGAACAGCACAGTCTACAGATCGAGCAACTACAAAACAGGACTGATGAACTAACTGTAGAGAACAAAAGGCTTGGTAAGATTCTGCTATTCTCTGATCTATATTAGAATGCTGTTTTGTCATCAAAACATACCTGGGGTTGTGGTTTCATTCACACACGTTCCACCTTGTGATGTCATGTGGTAATGTTATGAGAATAATATGATTTTAGTTCTGGAACTGCCTATCTCTACCAAACTAAAGGTGAAAGGTATAGCTGTTAAACTGAAAACTGCCTTTAAATAACACCACAAGGTGGACCAGAGCATTTTGAACTTTGAAGATGCAGACAGACTGATAATAAATGATTGCTCAAACGTGTGTGAATGAAACAAACACAGCTCTGGGTATGTTTTTTATCAGACAACAATATTACAGCATGGCTTAAAACTAACAAACAAATGCATTTTGTGTAATATAGGACATTTAAGACAAAAACAGTTTAAAAAGGTGCTTGTAAAATAAATGTTAAATATTGATCTGTCAAACAACACATTATAAGGTGATATTATGACAAGCCAACATATCATCAGTGTTATTTTTTTTTGTATTATTCCTAGTGAAATCTATACACAGAAGTTGTGTTATTCTAACTCCCATTGTTGTATTGTTCTAGTGGAAAAGCTCACCTGTGTGGAGCAGTTCCTAAATGAAAGAGACCAGATGATGGCCAACTTAGACACTCTGAAAAAACAACTTTTTCATCAAGAAGAGGAGCACAGAGTCAACCTCCATGAGCGGGACATACAGGCACTGATGGACAAGAAAAAGTTAGTCTTACACATATGAGCAGACTATTTCTCAAATAAACTGCAATCTTTGTCACCTAAAGGGCATATTATGTAAAATGTTGCTTGATCATTAGCTCACTCAAAAGTTGTATTTCTGTTGATGCATGTTTGAGTAATCCTGTATTGTTCTGCATTTTAGGCTTGAGAGCTCAGAAAATATTTTCACCTATCCCAGCCCACTTCTCTGTGCTTACTTGCAATTATTTAAGAAATTCAGACATATGGATTTCAAAAATGTCACATAGTTATTTTTCAACAGTAAAAACAAAGAAATTAAAATTTGCTAATCACTGAAGAGTAGATCAATATTGTGATTTACAAACAAAACAACAAAATAAATTAATAAGCTATGAGATATTTGAATATGAAATACCTGTTAAAAACAAAAGCCTTCTATATTTTTTAAGGTGGGAGAAGAAACTGGAGGGCCACGTAGCCAATATGGAGGCAGAGGTCCAGTCCTTGGTGAACCAGAAGCTCCCAGAGACCACCAGTCTGGCCCTAGAGCAGAACAAGGAGCTAAGGGAGCGTTTTATCCAGCTATCGCAGCACACTCAAGAGCTGCTGGAGAGGAACACAGCCCTGCAGAAGATCAAGACTGGCCTTAAACTGGATGTGGAAAACTTGGAGCAAATGTTCAAAGAGGTGTCTCGCAATAACTGCGTCCAGAAAAGGGTAAGAGCAAAAAATACAGCAGGAATAAAGCTTAATACTAGATGTTGGCTAATACAGACATGGACAAAATTGTTGGTACTCTCTGGCAATGAAAGAAAAATCAACAATCGTCACTGAAATAATCTGAAACTGATAAAAGCAATAATAAATAAAAACTGACTGAAAATTATCCAGCGAAACTGTGGTTAAACAGAATCATTAGAAAAAACTAAATAATGACACTGGCCTGGACTTTTTTACACACCGTTTTGAGGCAATCTCTGCAATAAAACGGTTTCTGTAACTGTCAATGAGACTTCTGCACTGGTCAACTGGTATTTTGACCCATTTCACTTGAGCAAACTGTTCTTCTTATCTCAGGTTTGAAAGATGTCTTCTCCAGACAGCATTTTTCAGTTCATTTCACAGATGTTCAGTAGGATTGAGATCTGGGCTCACAGAAGACCACTCCAGAACAGTCCAATGTTTTGTTCTTGGGTGTTTTTCGCTGGGTGTTTTCAGTCATTGTCCTGTTGGAAGTCCCAAAATGCCTTGATAGTCTTGAGATTTCATTGTATCTTGCATAGATTCAAGACACCCTGTGCCAGATGCAGCAAAACAGCCCCATAACAAAACCAAGCCTCCTCCATACTTCACAGTAGGAAGAGTGTTCTTTTCTTGGTGTGCTTAATTTTTGCGTCTGTGAACATAGAGCTGATGTGTCTTGCCAAAGAGCTCCAGTTTTGACTCATCTTTTCAAAGGACATTCTCCCAGAAGCTTTGTGGCTTGTCAATGATCCATCTCTTCAGTTTGTTATAAAATTTCCTCTTGCAGCTGCGTCCAGGGAGGTTGGCTACAGTCGTGTGGACCTTAAACTTCTGAAGAACATGTATAACTGTAATCACAGGAACAGCACACTTATGGCCTTTATCTTTAACCTGCTTGCCCATCATTTTCTTTCTAGTCTTGTGACACAGTTCTCTTCTTCACTTTCTCTGGTCCATGTTCAGTGTTGTATCCATCACATCTCCAAACGGCACAATGACAACACGTCACTCTTTAAACAGGTAAACTAACTGAGGACAAGTTTGAAGACGCCTGTGATGCAGATTGCACCTAACTTTAACATGTCCCTATTGTTCACTTACTTACAATCTTTTCTAGGGTTACCATCATTTTTGTCCAGGCAAGTTTCTTCAGTTTGTTTTTTTAAATAATTGTGTTGAACAGCAATTCAAAAACAGTGATTTTTCATTGGTTATTTTTCAGGATTTTTTATTTATTAATGCTTTTCTTAATTTCAAGTTATTTCAGTGACCATTGTTGATTTTTCTTTCATTACCACTGGGATACCAACAGTTTTGTCCATGTCTGTATATCCGGCCAATATTTGCACTTTTTCGTGCTTTGGCTATCAACCTTAAAATACCAGCAGAGGCCAGTATTCTGTTTTGGCTAACCTGCTGCCCACAAAGCTTTATTTGAACACTTTAATGCAAAGAAATAACTGCTGAAAATGTGACTACATCCTACTGAAAGCTTGTGGTAAAAAGGGACTGTAGGTGAGTTTGTCATAAATTAAAATTACGTAATTTGGCGAAAATAATCAAAACCCGCCTTAAATATTGACCCCAAAATATAAACCAAGCTTATTGGCCATCAGTTGCTCTGAATTCTAAACATTCAATATAGGCATTGGCTTTAAGGCTTGCCCTGGTCATTCAGTTTTCTTTTCAGCTCTGACAGTTTGTGGTTGCCATTTGTAATCCAAGAAGTATCTCAGTAAATTAGAATATTATAAAAGATCAATAAAAAAAAATGTCAATGCACTCAGTAGTTGGTTGGACTTCCTTTGGCATGAATTATTGTACCAATGCGCCGTGGCATGGAGGCAATCACCCTGCGGCACTGCTCAGATGTAACAGAAGTCCAGGTTGCTTTGATAGCAGCCTTCAGATCATCTGCATTGCTGGGTCTGGTGTCTCTCATCTTCCTCTTGACAATATCCCTGAGATTCTCTACGGGGTTCAGGGCAGACAAGTTTGCAGGCCAATCAAGCACAGTAACACCATGCTTACTGAGCATCTTCTGGTACCTTTGACTGTGTGGACAGGTGCCAAGTCCTGCTGGAAAATGAAATCAGCATCTCCATAAAGAAGGCCAGCAGAATGAAGCCTGATGTGCTCTAAAATGTGCTGTGAAAATGACTGTGGAAACTTCATAATGGATTTCAAGTAACGTAGATTCAGTGCCTCTCCACTCTTCCTCCAGCCTCTGGGACCTTGATTTCCAAAAGACTGGCACAATTTACTTTCATCTGAAAAGAGGACTTTGAACCAGTGAGCAACAGTCCAGTTCTTTTTTTTTCAGTCTATTCCTCATGAGGCTTCCCAAATTTTTGAGGAGATTTTCCTTGACAGTCCTCTCAAGGCTGTGGTCATCCCTTTGGCTGGTGCACCTTTTTTTTCCTTTCACTCATGTTTTTATGAATATGCTTGGATACAGCACTCTGAGAGCAACCAGCTTCTTTAGCAATGACCTTTTGTCACTGTCTCCTTGTGGAAGGTGTGAGTGAGTGTCTTTAGGACATCTGTCCAGTCAGCAGTATTCTCTGTGATTGTGTAGCCCATTGACCCAGACTTGAGAGACCATTAAAGGCTCAGGAAACCTTTGCAGGTGGTTTGAGCTAATGGGCTGATTAAGGTGTGACACCATGACTTTCCAATATTCTGTTTTTTCACACTATTCTAATTTTCTTAGACACGCAGTTTACGGTTTTCATTTTCTGTAGGCCGTAATAATCAAAATTTCAAGAAATAAAGGCTCGAAAGTGTCATTAATCTATATAATATATGGGTGTGACTTTCTGAAATTAAATGAAAATATTGAACTTTTTCATCATATTCTATTATTTTTTAAATGGACTAATAAGCTCCTATTTCAACTTGAGTTTCTCTTTCACAGATGTATTGTAGAAATAACAAATCTCCTTGTAAGAGGTGATGTGATGTTATAGCTTTCCTTCGGTATTTTGAGTCCTTTGAATCTCTTCGAGCTTTTTGGTTGGTCAGTTTCTCCTGGGTTTGCAGTCTCACTTCTGTTGATCCAGACAAGTCATATGGTAATAGCAATTCAGTATTTTTATTTTTTTTTCTGTGAGCTGGGGTAAGTGATCATAGATCTCCATTCACCTTAATAATTGTTCTGCGCCTTTTGCATAACTCTGATATTATCATTTTTATTCCCCAGATAGTTAAACAGCTAACTGAGAAGTGTACACAGCTACAGACTGAGCTAAACCAGAGTAAACAGAAGCATCAACAGCTGCACTCGCTGCATTCACAGAGTATGGACGAAATGGAGACACTCAGGTCCAGTTATTCATTAATGTTAAAGATGCACTATGTACATTTTTGGTGATGGGTCTGTTACCTGCTTGTTTCCATGGAGATGTTAATCTTCTATTTATCTTTCAAAAGGGTTAGGGTTCGAGCCCCTGAGTGGGCTAGCCTCTCCTCAGAGCTGACCTGCTGCTTGGCCTGGTGACTTCACACACTTGTTTCCATGGAGATGGATAAGTTACATGCCATAGTATGGAACATTTTAGGCAAAGCAATACCGTCTACATGGAGACAAGTAGAAAAGTTACATAGTGCCCCTTTAAAAATATGGCCATCTATATCCACGTAGGTGAATCCAGCCCTGATGTGGTCATTATTACTGTGTGTGTGCAGGAAGGACAGGGCCTCTGTGTTCAAGCAGTGCAATAAAAAACAATATGACATCAGTCGTCTGGAGGCAGAGTTACAACAGGCGAGGAAGAAGAGGAGCGAGATGAAGAGCATCACACAAAAGGGATGCATTATTCTTAAAGAGGCATTGATGGTACTGTTTTGTAACTATATCATTATCAGTACTAGTATCATTATTAGTATTAGTATTTTTTTTTTCATGACTAGGTATTACAGTGATCTGTTAATATGTCTGTAAGATACATATGCAGTCATAAGAAAGAATACACATGATGTAGGACTGGGGAATGACAAAAAATGCATTTTTAAATTAAAAAAAAAATAAATAAATAATTAAAATTATTTATTTTTTAAATTTATTCTTTTTTTATTCTTCTATTTTAAATTTATTCTTAAAAACAACTAATGAAGAAAATCTTGCCTTTCTATGTGTTGGGTAAAAGTGTTAACTTCTGAATTTGGTAATTTTTTTTTTTAAACAGGAATTTGATGTGGAGTATTCAAAGGAACGGGTTGACCGGTTGAAGCCACTCCTGCAAAAGCTGCTGGTGGTCCTAGAAGCCTCCTCACTCTGACAACCAATGTAAAGGTTTATTATATGTTTGAGATTTGTGCAACTAAATGGTGGTATATATTAAATTAATATTGGTTTTTTTCTTCTCTCAGGAACAAATCAAGTCTGAGGCAAACAACACAGAGGGAAATCATACCATACCAAGTCGTGTGTAAAGAATGAAACACTTAGAGGATAAAATACACTGTACTGGTACAGCTGAGAGACTGCTCTGTCTCTCAGCTGGCCCGGGAACACCTTGAAGTCCCCTGAAGGAAGCGTCTGGGATGAAGGAAATCTGTGAGTCCCTGCTTAGACTGCTGCCCCCGTGACCCGGCCTCGGATAAGCGAAAGAAAATGGATGGATGGTATTGGTGTATCAGCCATTGGTAGATATTCTTTTCTTCAGCATATGCAATTCTATAAAAAAAAAAAAAAAGTCACAGGTTTTATTCTGTTAAAAATGGTTTATTGTTTTATGGCAAATTGTCAGGCACTTCAGTTCCCAGTTACAGTTGAAAGTACTATTATGAACACTAGACATGTATTATACATGTAGACAAACACGTAATGTGGACATGAGACAAAAAGAAGAATTTAATGACTCTTGTATGTACAATGAATACACAGATCTGCTTTCAAAACTATGCTCATGATAAATATACAACTTCATTGATTGTTTAGATATATTTAAAATACTGTGATTCTTCTTTTAAATAGAATAGAAAGAATAAAAATGATTTATATAAAAGTACAGTTTGACCAGTCAAATAAACATATTTACTCCAATGTGTTGTTTGTTCACATAAGCAGCAGACAGCAATTTTATCTGAGGCTGTTATGTTGAGGTTAGCAATATGTACAAGAGATACTGACTGCTCTGCGTAGCATTGTATTAGTTGCTTAAAGAACCCCCCTTGACTAATTAAAATAAAATAAAAAATATTTGCAAAAAATTTGCTAAATAAAAAAAATGCAAAAAAAGAGCAAATGGCATTTGGTTAAAAACATGTGATGTGATGGTTTCTGGTTGGACATGAGGCACCAGCAGGTTACATTCATCTTCAAGGGCACTTGGGCTCATCCAGACAGAGGCAGCACACAGAGGGGGCATCCCACATCCAGCTGTGGGGAAGGCGCATTCAGCCCGAACCAATAGCAGCACAGAGTTTGTGGCAGGAATGGGTCCTCTAGTCAAACAACCCCCTCCGAGTGGGGCTAGGGGACGTCTTCCTGCTGAGACGAGGGGTTCCCTAAAGACAAATATGTAATAAACATGTTAAATATGGGCCAAGACAGCAGATGTTTAAGACTGTATTAAGTAGCCATGATGGTACATACTGGTGATTGGGCTTTGGAAAAGTTCACATGAGCATAAAGCAGTACTGCAATGTCCTTATGTCCAGCTTCCAGAGCAATAGACAGGGCATTACTTTCATCCTGAAAACAAGAGTACACGAGTACTGAGTACAAAGCTTTAGTTAGTGCCTCTAGTGTAAAGATGTCCTTTAATAGTGTTCAGTTTAGGCCTAGTCACTCAGATAATGATATCAAATACTCACACTGTCACTCAGTGTGGCGTCACAGCCTGGCTGAGCCAGCAGCAGTTTGACTATCTCCACGTGGCCGTGCTCACTGGCACACATGAGGGCAGTGGAGCCCTCGTCATCCTGGATGTTGACCTCTGCACCGTGAGCCAGCAGGGCACGAACCATATCCATCCGCCCATGACTGACCGCTAGCATCAGAGCCGTCTGACCTGCCTACAAAACAGCAAACAACAGCTTAGACATAATCCTCATAACTCACTGTTAAAAACATGACACGTCAGAGGCATTATGCCATTACTGGTAACAGTTATAGTCCTTGACCACAAGGGGTCAGCAGTGTTCTAACATTTCAAATCTGCAAAGGTGAAATTCAGACAAGACTATAGTAATAAAACAACACAAAGGATTAAAATAATCTATAATGGTGCATTTTGTGTGTTACACCATTTATCATCAGGGGAGTACTTGGACAGCTGAAGTAATGAAATGCATAAGTTTACTTGTGTGTGCGCCGTGTGGGGCCTATAGGTGCCCTAATTTTCCTGTCTGACCTCTGACCCCACTGACCTGGCTGGCACGGGCATTGACGTCACCCTTGCTGAAGAGCTCCTCCACAATGTGCATGTCTTTAGTTGTTTCCACGGCAGCCAAAGCAGCGAGCATGATGGGAGTGTATCCCGCCTTGTTCTGCTGGTCCACGTTGCACACATCTGAAACATAAAACATGGGTTGCTAGGGTGAATGATTGACTTGAGGCCTTTCCTGCCCGTCAATCAAAAACAAAAACTTATTCAATCTCTATGATCTCCTTTTATTCAAATCTATACACCAGGACCAAACCAGCAAAGGAGGTGGGCACCGAACTGCATCGTCTGAACTATAACTTAAAAGAGGACATGAGGACACAGCTCTGAAGATCAATGGGAGGGGATGCTGTCCTGCAGAGGAGAGGGGCATAGGGGGTCCGAGGAACTGAGTGCACGGCAAAGCACAAAAGCTATAATGGGAGGAGGGGGAGGATCTGTTGTCATACGGATGGACAAGTGCACAAAAGACAGAGTGAGGGGGCACAAAGAGGTTTAAAGCAGGGAGCGTCCCAGACCTCATCACAGTCTATTCAGCGCCTCTTGCTGTTGCTTCAGTTTGTATGTGACTGCACCAGTGCTACGTTATCACACCAGCAGGATAACTTGTAGGTGCATTAATATATTAGTCAGTCATAGATAAGAGTATGAGAATAATACAGAAACAACAACAACCACAATTTCAGAAATTAATTTGCCAATATGCTTAAAATAATCTTGAACAACCATTTGTAAGGTAAATAAAAGCTGGAAAATGTGTTACATAAAGCAATAAAGCAAGTACAAGCATTAGTCCGCACCTGCATCAAGTAGTTTCTTCACCACCTGGAAGTTGGAGTGAGACACGCTGTAGTGCAGAGCAGTGTTGCCATTGCCGTCAGCCATGTTGACAATGTGCCGCAGTACAGCAGGTGAGACGGCCCCGAAGCCGCTCAAGTAGTCCTCCACCAGGTGCGCTGTAGCTGCCTTTTGACTGGACACACGGAACCACTCGTGCTGAACAGTGTTCAAACAGGCTCTCTGAAAACAAAGAGAAAAAAGTAGGACTTTTGTTCACTATTTTAATGAAATTAATTCAATAAAAACATCTTACCAAGTCTTTACTGTTTGCAGCCTTAGCGTCACTAAGGTGGGTCTTCAGCACATCACAGGCGGCTATCATCTTCTCACTCAGCTCATACCTTTTGGAAAAAAAACAAAATAACATATTATTATAAGTTTTAAATTTGGGTTGTCATATTGTCAAAGTGTACTCGAACAATTGTTCCTGACTGACCCCCCTGACCCAGCGACTGTAAAATCCTTACCTTCATTCACAATGTCTAATTTATCACAATTGCTTTAGTAACTGAACTCATTTACATTGTTTGGAAAAGTCTTTACAGAGAAAATACAAGTACAAATCAGTGCAGTTATTTACCGTTCTCTGTTTTCTGAACTTGCATCTGCATCTTTCTCATTCACATCCTCAGCTCCTTCTGCCTCAAACTCCTCCCTAGTATTTTGGCTCTGCACGTTCTTATAGCCTTCTGAATTCCCAAGCTCACTGTCCTCTTCTTCTTCATCAGATGAGCTGCTGTCCTCTGAGCTGGACTCATCACTTGATGTTGTTTCATAGCTGTGCCATGACGGAGAACACAGCAATAAATATGTTTAATTAATTTTAGCTATGAACATTCCTAAAAAGGCTACAGACTACATTAGCTTACCCTCCGTTTACTCCAACAAACTGTAGGTTCTTCTTTGTGCCATTGGACTCAGGCTGACCATCTTTCTTCTTCATAATGGACTTCAGAGTGCTCTGACTGCAGTGCTGTCCTGGAGGAATAAGGGAATGTATTATTTTTCATTATATCAAAAATTATTTGGTGATTTTATGCAATTTTATGCTGCCAAATCCTTGCTGAATATGAGAGACAGGCCTGCACTTTGAAATATTTTAAAATCTAGTAATAGTTTTGTTTTGCTGTGCATATGGCTGAAAGGATATTATCAGCACTCTTATCTTTTAAATGTAATTGTATTAAGACAATCTGTTTTTCATATTTGTTTAATTACATTGTGTACAAATTGTACCAATAAATTTGCCTTTCCTTGCAGGTCAACTTTTACAATTCAGCATATATTAGCATTGCATATTGTGACATCACAAATTGATTTCTTTGTTTGGACACAAAAATCAAATGTGTTGATGAGTTTAAAAATATACTTTTTTTTTATAAGAATGAATCAGTGTGAGAGCATTGCTTGCAGTACACAGATAAAGCTGCTTCAGTCAAAAGTGGTCTGAAGTGGGTGTTTGTCAAACCCAAACTATCTCAGTCATTTTAAGTAAAGGCTCCACAAACCAAATGCCTGGAACCAGAGCATGCAGCTCATGTGCCAAGACTTGCCCCGACAGAGGCCTCTTAGCTGCTCCCAAGAAACACTGAACAAGTCACTCAGCACGTTCGCCTGCTTTGACAGGTGGGTGTGGCTAATATGTGGTGCAGATTACATTTGTTACCTTACTTGACAATCATAGATGACAAACATCTATGGTTGTCAAGTAAGGTAAGTAACTAGATAATGAAATAAATAAAGATAATAGCACTGAGCACGTGCCTTATGAGCTCAAGTAGCTGAACTTAAAATAGACATAATCATTACCGTGTAGTGCAGTAGACATCTGTATATCCATGCGACTCTTCTGCTCTGCGCTGATGGCATGCTGGGCCTGAGTGTTTGGGTCAGTGACTGTGGTCTGGTCTGTGTTAGCCTGCTCTGCTCCCCCTGAGTGGGACTTCAGTCTCTGCTGCTCAGCGCCAACTAAAACAAACACAGCGTTTAAAACACGTGAAAAATACCATGTAACAAGAAGTCTGTCGGCCAGCCCCTCTTAAGAGTTTATGGAATTCATACAGAAAATGCCATTTTATAGACCAAGTTGTAAAATTATCTTTTTCTATGAAGTTTTTAGATTTACTTTGTAGTCTTTGAACCTTTTGTTATCGGTACACAATGATGATAAAGTAACCACTGAAGACAATTATACCACATTCATCTATGCCCCAGCCTGAAACAAGAATGCATCTTATGTAACTCTGGAGCAGCCATGAATCAGCAGCTATTGTGAGGGAACTGCACAGGGAAAGTGGCTCTAAAAACAAGTGACCGATAGGAGTAATGTTACTGGCTCTCAAAAGAAATTAGCTCACTGTTGGTTTGAGGCCAAAGCCCCCACTGCATTTTTCAGGGACAAAGATAACTTTGACCTGTCTCGTCTAATCAGATTATCTTTAGCATCTGCGTGAACAGACCCTCCTAAAGCCGCCTCATAGTTAGCAACAGGCTTGTAAGTATGAACCTAGGACCCAGACCAAATCACAAAACAGAGTAAAGAAATACCACACTTTAGGGTTCGTGGGTGAAGCAACTTGTGCAACATATTTACTCTTCAGTTTACTGTTGCTGAAGTCAAAGATAATATCTGGATAATCAGTTATATTATGCCTGTCATTACAGAACTATTCCAGACAATATCCACCCAGTGTTTTACTCAATTATGTGATGATTTGATGCAGAGATTTAATGTGAGCTTTTAGGCATACTCAACAATACAATGCTCTGGAAAAGGGCTTGGCAATTAATATTGACAAATTAACATTTTCAAGATTTACTAATTTCTAATAGTCAATGGTCAGCTGGAGTCTTTTAAAAGGGTCCACAGGAGCCCATCCTCTGTCAATAAAAGCATGTGATCAGGAGCAGAGTTCAGACTTTGTCTGTGCATTAAGAAGCTCTGTTTTGTTTACTTTTATGAAATTAACATTGAAATCCAAATGTATCTTTTTTTGGAAAATAATCAAATTAAATCAAAAACTGAGATCGACCATTATGACGGAAAATAAAAAATGTGATTCATTTCTTTGTCATATGGCCCAGGCCTATTCTGGAGGCAGATCTAAGACACAACATGGTGTAAATCAGAGCAGATATGAGCAGCCCTCACCTGACAGTGGGCAAATGGTCTCCATCTGCAGCTTGAGAATGTCCTCAGCACTTCCATACTTCATAACAGAGTTTATGGATGATAGTGTGCTGACCAGCTGGCTGTTTATGGAATTGAACTGACTTTGGGGTTGACCAAAAGCCTCCGCGAGTTCACTGTAGTTCTCTGCCAGGAGCATCTGTTGTTCCTGTAGCAACTTTTGGACCCTCTCGATGTAATGGTCCAGCCCCGCACCCTCCTGGGGCTTATTATGGACTGGGACACTCACACACTCAAGATGCTCTTTAGTAGTGCTCGTAACAGGTTCTGAGTCAGCTGGCTGGGAAGGGCCACATGCAATATTTCTTGTTTTTAAGCCAACTAAATAGTTTTCATAAATGTTAACTGGTCCCACCCCGCATTCTTTGGTTTTCAAGGAGCTTGATTTGCCAGGGAATGACTGCACATCTGTGACAGTTCCCACAGCAACAGAGCGGATCTTAGTGGGTGAGTGGAGGTCTTTGACTAGACCTTCTCCTGCAGCCACTGTTCTGGTCTCAGTCACGGCTGTGTTGGTGTGCTTGTCCTCGGTAATCAGCAGCATATGTGTGGAAGAGTCAATCAAAACCGCTGCATCTGTATTTGTAGAAATGCTTTTACCTTGATGGTCAGTGTTGGTCTGCTGCGTTGCCAACTCAGGAATTGCCATGGTTGCGGAATCCATCTTTGTGACCAGATCTACCTCAGTTCCTTGTGAGACCAAAGTCTTTATAGGACTGACCACAACATCCACAGAACAGTCCCCACAGCCCACTGACCTGCTCTCTTTGGTCAACACTTTGCTAAAACTCTCAGTGCTCATAGACTCCTCTGTATTAACTCCAGTCTCACAAACATCTCTCTCCACGCTTACTTCCTGATGGCGCATCTCCACTTCTCGTCCTACACTTTTGTCACTGAGCTCCACTTGCTCATGCACCACCCATCGCTCCATGGAGACCTCTGGACCCACAGCCACAGAGCGCACACAAGGCTGACAGGAGACCCCAACAGCGTGACCTGCACTTTTAAATGGGGGTATGTTCAGACCATCGCCCACACCCTGACTACGCACCTGGACTTTTGCCTCCACACATGCATTGTACGTTTCAGGTCTCACCATGAAACCTTTGTCGCACTTTTTCTTAGTTGACCCTCCGGCTGCTTGTAGCTCTAGCTTGAGCTTGCCCATCTCCATTTCATGAGTTGTTTCTTTGAGTTGGACTTCTAAGCGATAGATCTTCTCTTTCAGAGCATCAATAGTCTGCTGCTGGAGTTCGATTTCCTTCTCTGAATCACTAGTAAAGCCCAACATATTCTCCGTCACCATCACAGCAGCACTACACATTTTCCTCACGTCTGTTGCTACAGCTACATCTCGTTTACTGTGCTCTGGAGTCAGTTTTTGGTGGGTCAGATTGTTCATGTTTTCATCAGTAACTGTGCCAACAGACTTTTGATGGGTTTGGTTTTGCACACGAATGTTCGACAGAGTATCACTTTCTGTGCTTTCTCGTGTTGTCTGTTCCAGAGCCTGGACCTCCGCAGCCAATCGTCTAAACTCGTCCAGCCTTTCACTGCTCTGTTCCGGAGCTTCAGGCTCCTTAATGTGCAGTTCCATTTCCTTTTGAATCAAACTTTGATTTTCCATTTGGTCAGCGCTGCCAACACTGTAGGAACGCTTACGAAAGCCACCAGGGCTTTTGGACTGAGCCGCCATCTGCCGCTTTTCCTCCTGGAGAACTGCGATTTTCACCTGAAGGATTGGAATGGTTTTCACCTGCTCCTCCAGCTCCTTCAGCCTCTTCAGAGCGATCACCATCTGCTCTCTAATCTGCTGCAGCTGCAGAGGGCTGACATTGGTCACAGGGGTGGTCATGCCAGAGCTCAGGGGGCTGTGGCGAATGGAGCCTCCCAGAGAAGTGGGGTAGTAGGGGTACTCTCCGTTGGCCAGGTGACCATTGATGGTTAGAGGCTGGTGGGCTGAGGGAGAGATCTGACTGGGGCCTATGGAGCCAGAGTACGAAGACAGAGAGCTGTTAGACCCTAAACCTCCAAAGCTAGCGAGGCGCCGGCGCGGGGGCTCACTGAGGGGCTGCATCAGTCTCTCCTGCTCAAGCCGCCTCCTGGTCTCCATCAGGGTTTTCTCCACCTGGGGGTTGTGGCGGGAGGTGATGCGGGGAGACTGTGGGGGCAGCAATGGTCTATGCTCTGTGCTGCAGTAGGCCTGCTCACTGGAGGAGCTTAGGGTGGGAGTGAGAGGAGCGGGACAGAGGGGCCTGGAGCTGAAGGACACTGGGGACTGTTTGTCGTCGCTGTTGGAGGAGGACAGAGAGTCTGTGGACGTCCATTCAGCCTGAGAACTGCCCCGCGGCAGAGCCAGCGGCCTAGGCCCTCTGGGCCTTCTCTGAATACTCAGTTTCTTAATGGTGTTACCCCGCTCAATATCATCGACATACTTGAGGAAATCCAGGTCTAACTGATAACCGTAAGGAGTTTCAACATAATAGGGGGCCACCGAGTCCTTGTCCTCTTCTGTGCTCGGGCATCTTTGTCCTCTCTCTGAAAAACAAAAAAAACATTCATCAGTGACTGGTATCACAACTGCATTCAAGTCCTGCGAGTTTCAGTATGTAATTAAATTAAATTGCAGCAAAGTAGTGCACATGGTGCAATTGTTTTTCAACAAGAATACCATCTACAGAGTAATCTGCGACCATTTAGTTGTGGCAATAAAGAGACATGCATAATGTGTTGATTCTAATCATAAGGCTACATACAAAAAAAAAATGTTTTTCAAAGTAAACCATAAAAAGAGAGTCTGATCCAAGATATTACTTTGATAAGATATTCCATAATCTTCTTGGCAGCTGACAGACTTAATTTTAAATTCAAAACACACGTTCAAACATGTAAGCTATAGGCTCTTTCCACATCACTTAGGTGTGCTCTACTTAAATCTAATGAAAAACATTACTAATTTATACATTGTTTGTTAATTAGCAGCCAGTTTCTACTCACTAGTGAGTTGTCAATTTTGATCAAGACCTGGACAAGGGTCAGTGGTACAGGAAACAACAGTTTGCTGAAGACAAGGGTCTGTTTCCAGAGTCCGGATACAAATCAATAGAAACAGTTGAAGTCAAAGTCTAAACTCCACAGCAGCAGAGAGCTCCAGTGTGACACAAGCAGGCGCCTACAGTCCAGTGTTTTCATGCAGTGTTGGCTAAATACAGCGGCTCATTCTTGGTATGCCTGGAACTCCAGCAGACTAAAACAAACATAGCCCTGAAATAAACAGGCTCTTCCTTTACCGCTCAACTGCTCCATTGGAACAACAGATAAAACAACTCCACTCACCTCCGCTCAGGGCACACACTCCATTTTGCCTCCTGCACCTCTGCCTTTTAAAACAACAGCACAAACTACACAGTGTCCACAGCAGTTAAGAGCTCAGAGCCACTACTTCTCCCTGCTCTGCGCACTCTTACTCAACCTTCTCTCCGCACAGGGAAAAATTCCAGTATTTGTGTAAAGTAAGCACAGACATTCACTGGCGCACTATTGGACGGCTGCCTCACCAATCAGCTGACTATCTCAGATTGGGCGCGTCCCTTTCCAAATGTGGGTTCTGTTTTCACTGGAAGGGTGGGCAGACCAGCACAAAACACAGCCTGTTCTTAAGACAAATGACAACTAATCAAAAGGTTAAGTATAAACACATTCAAGCACCAAAATTATCAGGTCAGTGTCTGGATAATGTGAAAGGTTTCTATTCCATTTCTTATCACTTGTTGTCAGTGTTAATTCTATGATGATTATTTATGTTTCGATTCATTTCTTTTTTTATTTTAACGTCTTTCTTATTCAGTAAAGCCCTTTGTGTATGAATTGTGCCAACTAAAACTAGTACATAAAAGTTCAAAAACCTTAAAATCTATACGAGCAGTAAGAAATGACACAAATGTTGTAGCTGAACTGTCATTATATTTTTGAATTTGTCTTTAGCCAGTAACTACAAGCAACAGCTGAGGGAAGACCTCATCAACCTGAGACAACTGACAGTGCCATGCAAACTGCTTATCTACAGCTGTCACATTGTTAGCTTGACAGGATTACAGCATGATGAACAAACTATTGTAGACAACATGCTCTTGGTACCACTTCAGGACAATTCAATTTCTAATTATGTTGGAAAAAAAGACCAATGTGTCAACCAAGAATTAATATTTGAACATTTTTTATGACATGGTACGTAATTGCTCAATTAACTATGTAAAAAACAGAACCCGGGAGCAGCGGCCTGACCCAATTCTTCTACAGTAAGCATAATGTGCTACCCCATTTCTCATACATTGCTAAATCATTTTTTTAATACATATAAAAATGAATAGACTTCTCATTTATAAAAGGTTACACTGACTATTTGGTTAGTAGTTGATAATAATCCAATGTGAAGCCTTTATGGGGATACAATAAGGCATTTTACTGGGTCAGAGCAGAGCAGAGAGAACAGGCCTTTCTTGGCACACTCACACACTGGTCCCTTTCTCACAGCCTGGTATTTCCTGGCTACAGCCGTGCACTTTCTATACGCCTGTGTAACATTTAATCAAACTGCAGCTGCTCAGCACAACAAACAAGATACATCCGTGGGGAGAAATTTCAGGAAACAGGATTTCTGAAATCTTATAGGAAATAGAAAAAAACTGTGGTGGCACGACTGATAAAAATTACAAACCTTTTTAACTTGACACACTGGGGCCAAATTCCACAACTTCACTGTGTACATGATAAAACTAGAAGGAGTAATTTTGAACTTTGAATATTGTTGCTCAAAAATCTTCAGTTGCTCAGAGAGAATTATGGGGAAAATTCTATAAACCAAACTTAAAATTGCCACTTTCCAGCAACAAGGACTGACATTGTTTCTACACAGTCTCAGTGTGTGTAACAAACAATGCACTATTATCAAAAGTCTTTGTGCAAACATCGTCACTTAATGCACTTCTCCCATTCTCCTCTTCAGACAGTATTATCATTAAACAATAGTAGTGTCAGGCAGTGTCTAGTTCTACTGAAACAGATCCTCCAGAGACCAAGGCAAATATTTGCAAACAAAAAGATTGATAACTTATTATTAGACTTGACTGGATGCTAAATAGAACAGGTCATCTTGCGTATCAACAGCGTTATAATATATCTAGACTGCCATGATGCTAAATTAGGTGCACTGCTGGTGGCAGAATTAAAGTAGATTTTGCAAGCTTTTCAGTAATGTATTAAGCAGGTGTATTTCACAGTATTGGTATCTACAATTAGGCCTGTCACGGTAATTACTATACTGACTTATTGTTCAATATATGAAAGCTGGAACAATTTTTGGGGGTCAGGATTTATCGTTTGTGCAATTTCTTTGCACTACTGGGAAACCTGTGTTTATTTTTTGACTGAAAAGATAAGATTTGAGCCTTAAAAGACAAGAGATTAATGACTTCTTTGACCAATTACAGATGAAAACTAAGTACTAAAGTGTTTCATCCTGCTGTTTATTTATTGCAGCTAATTTTTATAACAATATTGTAGATTTAGAATCCTTTTTGTGGTTTAAATTTGCCCTTGGGGTTTTGTGTCAGTGGCATAAGTTTTAATATTATTGTTTATCATCTGTATTCACTTCAGCAATATATCGTACTTCAAAATTTGTTATTGTGACAGGCCTATCTGCAAGAAGCACATTCCTGGGAGAAGTAAGAAGCGTAAGTCTCTCTTGTTAGTGAAGTCAGGAATGCTGTCTGTTTGCAGGTGCGTGATCGCAGCTACACCTCAAATGACAGTGTGTATTTCACACTCCACAGAGATGTACGAGCAGGACTCTGGAGAGGACTGATAATAATGATATCTGTGATTCTTAAAAGTTTTTGCAACAACCCCACACGGCCTCATTACTTCCAAGAGTGATTTTTAATTATGTAGATATTATCTGAATCACAATTATCATGTTAAAACTGAGCAATGACTAAATTAGGACTGAGGCTATGTACTAGAAATAAGGTAAGACTATAACATAATCAGGTCTAATAGGGGTGAGCAGAAATACTGTGAATGTTGTTTAGAAAAAAACAAAAAAACAAAAAAAAACAATATTGAGTATATCATCATGACATTTTTAAATAATACACAGCAAAGAGAGATGATTGAAAAAAACAACTGTTGTAAACTATAAAGGCTTTGTTCATAATTTTAATTTTTTGTAATGGGCTTAATTACATAACTAATACATTAAAACACATTGTATTTTTGAATTGGACACAAGATGCTTTAAATCAACAAAATATAAATAAAAAACATGAATACATTAAAAAGATGGTTACCTGAGCCATTGTTGTTGAAGTGCATAGTCTGAGCCATGGCTGCAGCTTGGTGCTCTCAGTCCCACACAAACAGCTGGGCACATGCAACGGCCATGCATCAAGTCCAGATTATCATGCACCCTGCAGACTGCAACAACACAGGGAAAGTGTGGATAGTCAAACTAGTTAATTCTCAAAACACATAAACAGTTTAGTAAGATTAAATTAGGTGCAAACCCAGGCCAGGGATACAAGAGCATTAGGTTTTAAAACTAATACTACAGAACAATGTGTTATAAATGAAAAATTCAATGTGGTTGAGAGACAGCCGTTTCACAATTTCATGCATCTGGTATTCATCAAAAGTTCAGTGTGAAGGGGGCTGTTGAAAATCATGTATACTAACATAAAATACTTGACAGGACAGAGCCTGAGCACTAGGGCTGTAGTCATTATAAACTAATAGGGGGGTGGTGTGGTGTTAAAAGCTCTCAAAATTATTAGGATCTTGCACGAAGTGTGACAATGTAAACAGACTTCAGACAGCAACAGACCAGTCTTTATATTCCTAATACAATAATGAGTCAAAGACGCCATCAACCGTTTTATAATAATCTAAGCAATGTCAAAAACATTTGACAATTTCAAACAAAATGTGAAGCATATATGACAGTAGCAAGACATTCCCAAATAATCCTTCAATAATATATAACAATTAAATATCAAAACTTGATGAATCAAACACTGTTCAGTAGCACTAGCAATCACATGTCACAAAACTGCCTTCATGCAAAAGGCTCGTTTAGACTGACCAAGCCTCTCCCAAGTGTCCTGCTCCATGGGTAGTCAGCACAAATGCCTAAAAGAAGCAACAGTAGGTCATAATAAGCAGACCAACAATTTTCTTTTATCCAAAACTACAAGATACTGTGTGTGTACAACTGACAGAAGCAAAACATTGCTATTGCCATATAGAAATTTTTTTCCATGACCATTGTCAATAGCCTAATAAGAAAATTGAAAATAAAAAGCTGCTAAAAGTGATAAATGAAAAATAAAAAGAAACTTGTGTAAACTTCCAGCACTTAATTTAAGTTTATTGAATTTGACACTCCATTCACTTATTGAGCATTTGGAGGACCTCAAACCAACACACATATTTTGGCACATTTCTGGTTGATTTAAAATATCATCTCATTATTGGTATAATCTACAATAATTGGGACAATTACTTTTGTCTATTGCACACACTTGACTCTGAGATAACAGCAACATGTACAATACTTAAAAATTACGTGCCTACTAGGACCTGTTATTCAATATATACTCCTCATGCAACTCACCCGTAATTTTCATTCTAACTACGTCCTCTGTGCAGGTAGCAGACCAGACTGAGCCTCAAAGCTGTGGACAACAAGCTCTTACCCAGCAGCCTTTGGAGAGAGGGATACTTTTCACGGCTAAGATTAGACAACTTCCTCAGATGACAGCCAGCCGATCTGTGCACTATAACAGGCATCAGGGCTTTAAGCTGAATGGAGGGGGGGTGACCAGACCCCTACACTGGGCCTCCAGGTAACAAGACTGTCCCACTAATGTAGCTAACAACCTGCACTTGCTCCTTCACTGAACTTAAACTCATGCCGGACAGCAACTAATGGAGCGGACAGTGGGCTACAATGGAAACAGTTTGTGTTGGTTTATATATTAACTAATCACAGTGGTGTGACTAACCAAGTCAAGTTTAGGACTCAAAAAATAAAATCCACAATTGTGATAACACACAGTTTGATTAACTGATTACTAATTATTCCGTATTTCTGTTGTCTGTCTCTAGGACCACTTTGGATTTTTTTCTGGTGGAGTGTACAGGGTTATTGCATAGCTTGGAAATTTCCACAGTAATATTAACTTTTAACCATTATGGAGTCACCTTTCCACAGATCTGACCATGGTGGCATGCAGACTGGTATGTTTAATGCCAATGTAGAACATTCTAGATAAAGCAATAACATCTCCATGGGCACAAGCAGAAAAGTGACATAATGTGCCATTAAGCATGTTGACCATAGCAGACATTTGTGCTGCTGTGTTTAGTCTGGTTTGTTTACCTTGAAAGATGAACGAAGTGATCAACCAAGAGTTGCCTGCATATGTGTGTAATAATTTAAGAGTAATGCTAAATGTAAGCAAGAGCACAAAAATTTGCAATCCCACTGTGTTGAATATTCAGCAGGGCTGTTTTTCCCTATAAAAGTTTAATGGGGGGAGAAGGACCTTAAGAGCTACTATATTTCTATTTGTAGCAACAGAATGTGTGACAAAAGTTACAGTTAAAACTAGTGGTGGTTGAGCAAATGTTATTGTGCAGGACAATTAAGACAACTGGATTTTATTGTGTAACTGGTAAGTAACTAATAGCTCTTCCCAGCAGTGCCTGTGGACCTCATTAGAGGAGCTTTGATGCTGGAGCTGACAGTAGGAAAACCATAAGGGAGTAAACGGTCAATGGCCTTAACGCTGAAGGGGCACTTGTACTATTGACCCCAGCTCTAATGCCACATCTGAGCCTGTCAGAGTGACCTGAAACTGCTCTAAAACCATGCAATTGCACATGGTGCTGTAGAAATATACAGGATAAAACTGTTAGGGTTTCTCGGACCTGAAAATTAATTTCAACTGCCTCCAGCAACTTTCAACCACAATTCTTTAAACTGCAGGAATCATTGCCCAACGGGAATCCAATAAATCCAGTCTGCTCTCATTTAGTTTCACAATTAAAACTTTATGTACAGTCTATAGTAAACTTGTGTCATGCAAAGTCTTCATGTTGTAATTGTGACAAAGGAAGTGCACCATACTGCTTTGTTAAAATAAATTAAACCATAGCTAGATATCCCATATCACATATCACACTGGTCATGTTTACAGTATCTGTGAAAGTGTACATTTGTATTTCAACAGCAGACAGACCATTGCAGATCGATGATTACAGAGCAATACAGAAGCCCATCTGTGCAGCACATGCTCAATACATCTGTAACAATTTGTACTCCCTCAAGCCAAGCCGGAAATCTAAAATTGTCACTTGAAAAGAAGTTCATGATGAAAACAACATGCTGATACCAATAAAATCAAACTTGTAAGAAAAACAAGTAACACATGTATGTATTTGAATGTGAAGACTTTTTCATCTCATTGATAATTAATGACAATACTGATTTGATTTTGCCCTCTTCATTTGACCCATCATTTATTGCTGCATGGGAAACCTGTAGGAGCAGTATGCAACTGCACTGATTGGAAAATTAGTTACTGTGATTGACAGTACCAGATTTTCTGTCTTGGGCTTAGAGTAGATTGTGGTTTTGGGTTGCATATGCTACCCTCTGGAGGTGAACTGCAGTACTACAACAAATCAAAAGTTGTTCAACATGTTCCATAAATTTTAAGTGAAGGCTTGTGTTACATTGTGAGTCCTCCTCATGAGTGCCTTCAAAGGCTTCAAACTCTCTGGTATCATCCTCACATTCCTCCCTCTTGTGCTGCACTTGACCGTGGAGCCATATATTCTTGAGTTCCTGGGGGCTATCAGCCAGAATGCCCTTTTCCACTAAGCCAGTACAAGGTGGGTCGGGCTGGTTTGGGAGAGTTTCTACTGCCCATAGAGGTGCAAAATTATTTTTATTGGAAACTATGATTCACAGCAATGCAGAATAGAGAGAATTTTGTGCAGTGACAATTTATATTGGAAATCCAATCTGAAAAACTTAAAGTTAATTGTGTAACTTTTCTGGTGGGTCCGTGAAATGTTTTTCTCCATGGAAATGTAATTACTCTGTCTGGAATGTTTCACATTATGGTATTAAACCTTTCCATCTTCATGGAGACTAAAGCAGACCAGAGGCAACAATAGATATATCCATGTTTCAGACAGTCAACCAAATAGTTACATAGTGCACCTTTAATGTAAAAATACATTTGTAGTGGTAAAATACATACAATACATAAAAACAAACACAAAACAAAAAACAAAACCAAATTAACCCCTTTTACCATTAGATCAAACTATAACTTCCAGTCACCAGTTAAAATCTTCCTCTTTAGCCCAGCTTCTAAGGACTTCCCTTCTGTTGTGCTCCCGCTCAAAGCTGCATTGTGGGAGAAATTCCCATCTTAAGTGCTCCTGTGTTTTCTTTTGTACAAAGCAGCTCTCTCCATTGACCTTCTGCTGACAGACCAATGAGATCCAGCAGCTCCCTCCACTCCTGCACTTCTGAAGATGGCTACCATACAATACGCTACAAGCTAATTAAAGACCCACAGACCCAGGGAGGGAAGGCCAGAATCCACCAACAGGACAACCTGAAAGCAAAGAGGAGGAGCATTTGCACATTTAGTCAGATTTCACACCTTGTTTATGGTCAATACAAGCTAAAAGTCCAGCCCTGCCAGTTCAACATGTGCAAGTATCCCAGGAATGCTTTGGAAGGTTTGATGTGGATTTGTGTTGTACAGCATTCCACCAAACACTTGATCTACTGGTCCAATTAAGAGTCCTAATGAGGCGTGGGTCCTACATGTACTGGACACCTGCCAAAAGACACAGGGGGTGGGGCCAGCTGGGAGGATGAGAGCAGAAAAATGCAGTACAGTTTGCTCTAGGACAAACCACAATCAAATATGTCAAAGTCATACAAACAATACGACATGTCCTTTTCAAAGACAGTGTCATGAAAGAATGCAACCTGAGAGCCTCCACTAAAGATGTAGTGATATTCAAGAGCCCATCTTACAAACATAGGGCATCAGAGCTAAAAGTGATTGACAAGCAAGCAAAATAAGTATTTGTTGAGAAGACTACGAAGTAAAGCACTAATATGGTATGTTCAAGCCTAGTCAAATCACACCCTGAGTTTTATTTATGACACAATCTTACAAACGTGTACTAAAGGCCTTCACATTCACTAAATTGGTTCCAAACTGAAAAATCTTCAAGTCAATACAATCAGAAATTATAATTCTTACATTGTATTTACCCATTTTTATAAACCATGTCTCTAAAAAGAATACTATGTGACAGAACAGCCTTGACTGAACAGCCGGGGGCTCCATCAACAAGAAAAATCATCATTTCCCATCCCATTG